AGGGTGAACGTAAATCTTCATGTATATCTTCAAGTCAACTTATTCGTAAGGGGGCTGTGGAGGCCTTCTTTAAACACGAGGCTCGCATGCAACTGTCGACGTACATCGAAACCTGAGGAGTGGAGCCCCCAGTCGGGTCCTTTTAAACAGCCCCCATACAGAACTCAGCTCAAAAGCGAGTATACTACAGTTTCTTTCGCACCATCACCACCCTCTCTACCACCCCCATCTCCTCCTCGCCACCTACTTCTTCACAAATGACGTGCGATGTCGTCACTCAGCGTTGAGCCAATCAGGAGTAAGCACTTTTGGACTACTTGCTGCTATCTCCCTCTGCGCAGTCGCAAACGGAGAAAACATGGTGAAAACCATCTATCGCGCGTGATGGTCATGCTAGACAAGGAGCAACGGGCACGCGACGACATGGCGAAGCAGGGTATGACACAATTCACAACAGATGTCGATCGTAAATCGACCAATCGACAGCCTATGGTGATCCTGACTTCACACGCACAAACAGCTGACGTCACGTATTGTGCTTCGAAAAGGGAAATGCCGGTAGAAAATAACGTGTTCATTGTTTGTATATTGAGAAGATCTTTATAGGGGCCCTCTTAGTGGTTGCTGGCGTGAATCCTAAATAGATGCCCTTAACCAATGTGCGATGCTCGACGGCTACGCAGTTTGGGAGTTGTCGCGTATTCTGCGAAGTGCTGTGCGCAATACTTGAAAGGCAACGCAGAAAGTCGCACGGTCTTTCATGCATTCGCCCAAGACGGTCTGAAGGTGGAAGTCATTCTTTTTTTTTTTTTCAGTACAGTGCATAAAAGATAAAGCCTTAGTACGACGCGATGCACCCGTGATGCGAACTGTGATCATGTGAGGACTTCACAAATAGCCAAAAATTTTGCAACGTCATGGTGCCGTCACATGACACCATCACATGGCATCATCGCTTGGTTAAACACGGGCCGAACGCTGATGATGGAGAGAGAGACCATTAAGAAAACAGATTTTTGCCGGCGTCTGTATATCGCTGGCATGCTACTCTGTATGGAGATGAAGAGAAGATGGAAAGATTTCAGCGGAGAAAGAAGAAAGATATGAAAAAAAAAGGGTTCAGTGTATAGTGCACCTGATAAAGCTATTTACATTAGGGTAATAGGTACATCAAGGCCCTGTGCGTGGACCTGCTAAACATTGTCGGGTCGTACTGTAATTTATTTTTTACCTATTCGATATAGGTCTTGCCGAAGGCTCCAATTATCTGGTGTCTCACACAGCGCTGATGATGGGGGCAGTGTAAAATCAGGCGAGGGGCTCCAAGCTTGCAACCTGAGCGATATTTGAGTCTTTCAAAAAACGCCTTGGGTGGAAAAGCTCTAGGGGGGGGGGCGAAGATAATCTATACATCACTTTAAGAAGACAAGCAAGATGACTTTTGCCTTCGAGTTGTCTGGTTCCTGTAACGTTTTAGGGGCGAAGCACCTCAAGACCTCACAATGTCCATCTGCCTGCAATTTGTCGGCAATGTAGTTACAGTGACTGGACCGTAGTGCACATTCAAAGCGCAGGTGCGCCATCTGTGTGCCACCACGCGAAAAACAAGAGCATGGTTTATTTCCATTATTGCACAGTGCCGCCAGGGGTAGCTGACATAGGCGCGCGCTCCCCCAATTCATGGCACCGCCACCAAAGAAAGCGAACATAAGTCGCACCATTCAGCGGATCAGCGGCAGCACCACCAGTGCGATCTCTAGCCGAAAGCTCGAGAAGCTACACCAATACGGCAACGTCAAAAAGTGGACCCAGAGCTATGAGCACGGAAACATTTAACAAACATTGTAGTTTCACGAATGTTTTACGGTATGCAGCACGATGCTTCGACCCACCTTCAGCATTTACTTCGTGGATATGCGTAATAAAGTTCTTGGTACTCGACTATGGAAGAGCAGAAAACCGTCCCAGTCAAAGATGTTGAGTAGCAATGACGAGAAAATTGTCAATAATTGTGTTTAATAAAAAAGACACGATTTTCACTCGTCTGTGGAAGAGGCACTTAGAAAAAATGGGCAACAATGTATAGCTCGAGGTACTCTACTATGGGAGAGCATAATGCCATCCCGTAGGTTTAGAAGTTATTACCGATTTGGAGTACTTGGTACTCTACTATGGGAGAGCGGAAAGTCATCCTTTGAGTTCACGCCGAAATTGATGTATATTACGAAAAACAGACATGTGCCTGCTTGCGAACTAATATTATCGACACAGACGCTCGCATATGCGCTGGCACAAATCTGTGATGGAAGGAGGTAAGATATAATGACATGTGGGGTTCATCGTCCCAAAACCACCATATGATTATGAGAGACTCCGTAGTGGAGGGTTCCGGAAACTTCCAGTGCACCCGGGGTTCCTTAACGTGCACCGAAATCTGAGCACACAGGCCTACAACATTTCCGCCTCCATAGGAAATGCAGCCGCCGCAAAGGGGGTAAGATGCCCATATTAGAAAGGAGAAGGGAACGTAATATCGGCTTACACATTAAACAATAATTCCTTTGAAGTCTTTCGTTTGATCTACACGCATAAAGCATTGCCTTTTATTGGCAGCCATATTTCCGCGTATAATTTGCGTAATTGTAGGCTGACTACAATGCGTAGCAATTTTTTAAGCATGGCAGGGTCAGAGAACTTTCCTCGGCCCTGCAATGTATATAGAATCAATAAAATTGATATGCACCGAGAACTCGTTAACCACGGTAAACTGTTTTAAACTACAATGAATCGAAACTCATAGCGGTAATAATATCGCGACTAAGCACTCACGCTTGAACCTAACAGCCGCGGGATGCGCAACTAGATTTTTTTTATTTTTCCTTTTCTGCTGGGCAGCATGGAAGCTAGCTTAAAGGCCACGTGTGGTTCGTTAAAAGAAAAAAATCGAGTTCCTGTTATATCATCGCTTTGCACACGAGGGAGGCAGGAGGGGCGCCCCAACCCTAGCAACACCGACTAAATTCCAAGGCCGAAAGGCTGCCGCAGTGACGTCAGAGGGTGGAGGCCCAGTTACGCCGCGAACGCTGCGGAAAGCCTGCGTTTCGTTCACGTTTTAGGAGAACCAACGCTCCCGCTCTCGCAGCTGCTGCGGCTTGATTGGGCCGAATAAAAGATGTGGAAAAAAAAGTCTTACTGAGCATGCTCAGTTGGGTAACTGGGCCTCCAACCTCTGACGTCACTGCGGCAGCCTTTCGGCCTTGGAATTTAGTCGGTACATGTTGACTCTAGACGCCTAAGAGAGGAGGGGGCGCAAAGTCAGTCCCATACACTCTGACTTTATGGGGGGGGGGGGTGGGGGGGAGGCGCCGCGACGCGCTTTCAACACTTCCCCTAAAAGTGAACCCTGCGCACGCTTATGAATAACTTTGTCACGCTGGCATATCTAGTGCCATAATGAGCGAGTGATCTTACGTACGCTTCCCGAATATCACTTTGGCGGCTCACTGCTTCACGAGAAAGGGAAGCTTACAGTGCCATTTTTCGGGCGTGTTAGTAAACGGAACTCTACGACATAATGATAATAATAATAATAATATTAATAATAATAATGATATTATTATTATTATTAATAATAATAATAATAATAATAATAATAATAATAATAATAATAATAATCAGCCTGACAACGTTCACTGCAGGAAAAAGACCTCCCATGTTCCGCCAGTTAATCCAGTCCTGCGCTAGCTGCTGCCAATTTATACCCGCAAACTTCTTATTCTCATCTGCCCACCTAACCTTCTGTCTCCCCTAGCCCGCTTGCCTTCGCGACGACGTACAGAGCGCTAACAAACCGGGACATAAGAGAGACGACAACATAATGCGCAAACTTCAACCAGGTTGAAGTTTGCACATTGTGTTTTCGTCTCTTTCATGTCCCTGTTGTCATCTCTCTCATGTCCCTGTCTGTTAGCGCTTATTGTGTCGTCTGGAAGCTTGCTTAGTTGTGGGGGTTCACGTCCCACAATCATCATATGAGTGACGCCATAGTGGAGGGTGCCGGAAATTTTGGCCACCTGGGGTTCGTTGTCGTGCACCCAAACCTGATCACACGGGTCTACGGCATTTTCGCCTCCAGCGAAAGTGCTGCCGCCACAGCCGGGATCCTATCCCGCGAATTGCACGCCAGTAGCCAAGTACTTTAGCCACCAGACCACCGCTCTTCGTGGCTCTTCGTGGGGCTCTTCGTGGCTGGAACTGATTTTATCATAATCTAAGTATTTTCCAGCCGTGAAGGAAAGCCCCCTGACGAAACGTCGGCCAAAACACCCACCCTTCCTTTACGGATTTTTTTCTGCGCGAGCTCTCATCCTACCTTTCTTGCTGTTTTCTGAACGGTTAGCCAAACAGATTTAAAGGTGAAAAAAAATTGAACAAGTGTATAAGAAAAAAGATCCAGACATGGATTGATAATTAACTAGATGTTGATTGATTGATATGTGGGGTTTAACGTCCCAAAAGCAGCATATGAAAATGAGAGACACCGTAGTGGAGGGCTCCGGATATTTCGACCACCTGGGGTTCTTTAACGTGCGCCCAAATCTAAGCACACGTGCCTACACCATTTCCGCCTCCATCGGAAATGCAGCCGCCGCAGCCGGGATTCGAACCCGCGACCTGCGGGTCAGCAGCCGAGTACCTTAGCCACTAGACCACCGCAATGGGGCAGTTAACTAGCTGTCAAAGTGTTAAGTGACTGAGTGCCACGTGAAATAGTACGTTCCATGTAGTACATGGAATGGTACAGAACTGTGCTTAAGGACTGCTGATCCGAAGATCGTGTGTCCAAGCCCGGCTGTGGCGGCCGCATTTCAATGGAGTCGAAATGTCAGAGTTCTGTGTACTGTGCGGTGTAACTGCATGGCAGATAAGACCAGCACTTTACTACGGCGATAAGTATGCCACGCCATCGACTGTCTTCTTCTTCTATTCGGCTATCGCAGATTAACGTGACCGTCCTGTACGAGCCGTACTGCAAGGACAGCTCCTGGTTTATCACCAAGCAGCTGGTTCCGGTGTACAAGCTGCTGCGCAACCACCTCATCGTCGAGATGGTGCCGTTCGGTCGCACGCGTATGAAGGAGCCGCATGGAGCAGACACGACCGTCAGCTTCACCTGTCGCCATGGACAGGCCGAGTGCCAGGCGAGCATGATCCATGCGTGCGCCATCGCCCTCTACCCGGACGTGGACAAGCACCTGTCGTTCATCGCGTGCACGCTCAAGGCCTGGAAGCCCGAAAAGAACGTCGACAAGTGCTGCAACCTGCTCAAGATGGAGAGCAGCAAGATTCTGGGCTGCGCCTCGTCTCCGCAGGGCAAGATCCTCCTGCAGAAGATGGGCTGGCGCACCATGTCGGTCAAGCCGGCCATCAACTACGTGCCCAGCGTGGTCATCGACGGCGGCTTCAACAAGCGCTACCAGAAGCTGCTGCAGAAGAAGTTCAAAGAGACCGTGTGCAAGCACTTCAAGCCACCCCTGCCTGAACCGTGCGAGGTTAAGAAGAAGAGGGGATGGTTTAGTCGTTGAATCGCTTCTCGTGACCGCCTTTACGATCCCTGAAACGCCCTCTCCACCAGTGTTGCGCTGACCTTCGACCTTACTTTCGATGCGTCAAATTTTTCATGCGGGCAGCAGTGCTTCTGGTCATGACCCCTTAGTTCCTTGTAGAACTGCCACCTTTCACTCATCATTCGTCTTATTCACAGAACAAACTTTGATTCTGTCCCCGAATTCTCGCCGAAAGATGGAGACAATCCGCGATATCGCTGGGTCCTGTTCGCAAAGTGACAATGCGTTGCGTTACGACGTCGTCTTGTGCACACGTATTATGGTACATTGCGCTATTCAAACTATTCAAACTAGACAAAGCAATGACGTGCTAACTGCCCAGAGAAATTGAACAGCGTTAGCTGTGAGACTGACAGCAAAGGCCGATGAACCGGTTGCGGCTACATTCGGACACGCCCCGGTCGATGGGAAATGGAAATTGGGTGAATGCAGATTGTAGTGTGACTCAAATTTGGCGACGCAAGTTGTTGTACGGGCGACGCGAGGACCATAAAAATTTCGCAAAAAGCATTGTCTTTACTACACTGAGAGGAGCGTCATTTTGATGTGCATGTCCGTCAACATCGATTTGTTGCGGAATGTTCATGTTTAATTGGTATTCCAGTATTCATATAGTAGGATTTTCCTTAAAGAGAGTTGTGCTATCCAGTACGTCGGTTACAAGTTGGATCTGCGTCTCCTCATTCTTGGTTACCTAGCACAAAACGTTTTTATACTTGCGTATAAGGTGCTTGACTAAGCAGTTCCCGATTGCTTTAAATGTACTTAGGCCAGCTCTTAGTACAATTATAAATATGCCTTCACTGCCCAAGATTTCCTATAGGTAAGGGTCAAGTTATCGGGCGGATTAAATTGTAAGTCCTTACGTGTCACCTTTTTACGCAAAAAGCAAATATTTGGTCGAAAGCGCGAGAAACAGGGGGAAAGTTTTTTTGTTTCGTGTAAGCTAAAGCGTTTCTATGCCTTAATTGAAGTCACGTGTTTATAAAAGCCATTAACGATTTTGAGTACTTTGTACTCTACTATGGGAGAGGATAAAGTCCTATCGTGGACCTTACACTTGATGAGGCCCCGTTGACAGAAAAATATGGAATCAAGAACGACATTCACACGCCCAAAGAATTAAATGTGTGGTTGAAAAATATGGTTATTAGAGTACTTCGTAAGGTTCAAAAGACGGCCTGAGAGCCATCCTTTGGGGGGGAGGGGGATTAGAAAAAGCGGGTAAAGGCTTAGCGTACAGGTTACTCTACTATGGAGAGCTTGAAGCCGTCTGGTGGGCCTCAATGTTGCTCGGGGGGGAGGGGGGGGGGGTTAGTGAAAGTGGGTAACAATTTAGAGTACAAAGTACTCTACTATGGAAGAGCTTGAAGCCGTCCCGGGAAGACAGACGGGCATGCAAAAGTCACTACATTGAATTTCCGCTGCGTCGGGTGCGCGTTTGATAGTGGAGAAAATGCAAGACCCGTGTACTCTGATTCCGGTGCACGTTAAAGAACCCCAGGTGGTCGAAATTTCCGGAGCCCTTCCACTACGGCGTTTCTGATTATCATAACGTGCTTTTGTGATGTTTAGCCGTAGGTATTTTTATTAGGTTAGTAAGCAAATAAGTCGGCTCGTTTGGCCTAGAGGGTGTCTTCACAGCCTCAGAAATTGCTCTTAAAAAAAGAGCGCGCTATACCCGCTAACATTTCTCAACTTTCAGGCGCGATTCATTACGCAAGCAGAGGGATTCACGTGACATCAATGCGATATTTATTCTAGATTGGTCAACACAGGCAAAACGTGACTTGTGAATTCTATCTTCGCATTGCCGTGCAGTTTTCCCACCCGTTATTTTTTGTCTTGCATCACCATTGTGCGCAATCAGCGGATATAGCTTTTTTTGTGTGTTCTTGACTGCGAAAGCGGAAGTAACGGTGAGTAGCGAAAAAGGTCTAATCTTGACAGGCTGCATGATTAGAGCTGGCAATATTGACGTGATTTTAAGAAATGAGCGGTGAGAAGGAGACATTAAAAGTAGTGAGGGTAGTGAAGGCGAGAAAGAAACCACTCCCTCGTCTTTCAGCCCGGAGTGGTCCGGGATTTAGCAAGTCACGTGTTAGGGCAATCTGGTTCGTACTTCATGAAACATGGTACGAGACAGGGGGACACTTGAGCACCTGTCCTTCGTTCGTTTCCCCTTTTTCGTAGCGCTCGCTTATTTCGAATCATGATTAGGGGTTCTTTAAGAGGCCCACTAATACGTTTCCAATAATGTGACCACTTTGGCCAAGTTTTATTGCGTGTACACTCTCCATACTCGGCATCTTTACCTTGTGGGAATGCTGACACCCCCCCCCCCCCCTGTAAAGTTGTCTGCGCCGCGTGGCGCACGTGTCTCGCCCCAAGGCTTTGTTTCGGTGGTGACCACCACGGGGCGATAGATGGCGTTGTGTTCGCTTTGAGTACCACTGTTGGTAGAGTGATAGCGCCGGCGGTGGCCCCTGGCGGTAGGCAGGCCTTGGCGGTGGGCGAGCGTTGAGCGAGCCTCTTCTGCGCGTGGTGGCTGCCGCGAACGGCTGTCTGTAGCGTGGGTCCCGGTGCTCGGCACCGCGGGCTTCGCGCCGGAGTCCCACGTGGAAAGTCGGGCGTTGGCGACGCCGCCTTGGGTATATGTTAGTGTGTTGGGTGTGTTAGTGTGTGTTTATCATGTTATTGTGTGTTTAGTGTGTCACTGCGTTATGTTGTTTGTATGGTAGCGTGTTAATTGAAATTTGTGTATCATTCGGCGGATGATATCGTCGTCTAAATTAGTTAATAAATCTATGTATGTGGTGTGCTTTGTACCGACCGCGTCTGCTGTGTCCGTTCACTCCAAGAGCGTGGCGTGGCGATGCGCTCGTTCGCCTCGCCGAGACCCCACAACCTTCAGCTGATCAACGGGGGGTAGCCGGCGGGACATGATCCTGCAACGTAGATACGCCTTTAGGGTGCCACCGTGCCAACACGGCCTGATGAATTAACCCTTTGATAACCGGTGTACAGCAGTCTAACGCAACTTAGCTCTGCTTCAAATTGGATCATTAGGAAGAAAAAAAAAACCACACCGTACACAAAAAGATGCACCCCTGCTGTGGTGGTCTGGTGCTTATGGAGCTCGAGTGTTGATTCGAAGGTCGTGGGGTCGAATCTTGACCGCAGCAGCAACATTCGCGATGGAAGCGAAAATCCTCGAGGCTCGTGTGCGTATATATTTAGGTGCACGTTATAGAACGCGAGGGGTTCAAAATTTCCGGAAGCCTTACAATATCGTGGTTTTAGGACGTTAAAGGACGAATATTGTATATGGCGAGAACAAAAAAAAAAAACGCGAGGCATGTGCTGAGTAGAAGCCTTTGCGTCTGTGTTTCTTTTGTCCATCGCCACAAAAAGTGGTCTGGGTCTTGCCTTGTGGGGACCAACCAGCTCCGGATAAGTTATTAATGCTAAAATCATCATTCACGGCTTTCAGGTCTAACTTTTCCAGGAAAAACCAACTTGCCCTAACAGCCAATGAACGAGCACTCAGATATCGCGCTGCGATATAACGAAGAAGCCGCGCTTTGACGCGTCTGCGATAGAAACACTGCGAAACCATCGCGACAACGACCTGCGCAATGTTTAGATACGGCCTCACTCATGACAATACGTCGTTTGTCCTCATACCACGGTGTCCATATTTCTTGGAACACTAATGCTTTTCATCTCGCGCCTGATCCTCATGGTTAGCTCATGAAGAAGTTGTGAAATAAGAGAGAAAAGAAATGGAAAAAAAACATAGCGATGGATGACTGGCTTAGTTCGTCTTGCCCGCCAGGCGTAATCGATCAGACCCTCTGTGACTTCTAATTGTCCTCGCTATCTCGCCTGAAATGATCACTGTTGTGTGTATTGCTGGTGGGGCATGTTGATGTTTTTTTTTTCTCTTTCTCTTTAGTTCGACATGGACTGGCGCCGTTTTTTGAGGGGTCAGACATTTAGTGACAAATAGTAAGAAGGGCGACATTTGTACCGGTTAATCTTTCCTCGTCGTGACGATACTTGCAAAGATGAAATGGTGCTGCACCGCCACTCTTCGAAGGCTTTTTGCACCTAACGTGGTTTACCACTGGCTGGAAAAAAACTGAGGAAACTTCAAAATTCAACTCGAAAGATGTCATTGTTACGATAAACGGAGTCAATTTTGTGTATTTATGATGGATTGTAAGCGCGCAGTGACTGCTCGCGATTGTGAGCCATGACGTCACACTCGCCGAGGTGCATGCAGGACGCACGAGTTTTTATCCTCCACTTCCTTTTCTCGCCCTCTCCTCTAAACCCACTCTTTACCTTGCACAAAAGCGCTGGTGCTGTGCCCCAGCAGGAAGCATTGTTCGCTGCTGTTGCTGTTCGTAGCGGTTTTGGGAACCGAAGTGAACGTTGAGCGAGTCGAGGTGTGCGGGCGACAGTTTGCATTTTTGAATTGCCCGTTTCGAGTGTGTGTGACGTAAACAAACGTCACGACTTCTAGTTCACGCGGTGACCGATGGACACGGCTATTTGGAGAAAGAAAAAACGCATTAATTTTATTATTTTCCCACAGTTGTTGCCTGGAATGAAGGTTACCTCTATCAATTTCCACGCCCAATCTTTCAATCTTCGCAGCAAAAATTTATTGTATATTTATTTAGTTAATACTGCCGATTTCTATGCAAACTCGTAGGTAGGTAGGAGTGGGAATGCCTTTACCAGGTTTTAGATTGCCTCCGTGATCGGATCGCCTTCGACCAAGCTACGATGTGATGTCACGAAGGCATTATAAGACGTTACGTCACGTGAGGTCACAATGACGTGACAAACTTTGGCGATCTGCGACGTGTTCGTCACGTCGTCTCGTGATGACGTTTTGCATCATTCGTACGCTACGCCATGGGAGGCAAGACGCCGCCGACGTTCAA